TTACAAAATAATTACAAATATTAGAATAAGTCATGGCAGTAAAGCACATAATAACATGATGCATAAGCTATATAAACCAAGTTAAGTATATAAATTTTTTATAAGATAAAAGAAATTATGTACCACTTACAAACACTGTAGTACTTCACAACAAAAATGTCCTACTAATAGTATCGTAATACAATTGCCAGCTTTATAATCAAATGTAAAATCATCATTAAAAATTATGCTTCATTTCACGCATTACTTGATAGTTTAATGAGAAGAATTAAGTCAAATTCCAAGCACAAACTCCTAATTTCAATTCTTAAAACTTAGAAGACAAAAAAATATCAAATATGAAAAGAGTTAAACACAATGAGCCTTGAGTCACTCTTGATCAAATATATATTTGAAAAGGAGTTAAAAAATAATGAGCTTTAAGTCACTCTCAACTCACAATCATATTTGGGTACTATGCTATTATCTCATCTTCAACAACTTTTACTTCCCATGCAGGGCCGGCCATGAGAATTTAGAGGCCCTAGGCGTGTAGTTATTATGAGGCCCTTCAACATAATATTTATTTTACAAGTATAATAATATGTAAATATTAAATAATTAATAATTTTATATTAAAAAGAAAACTTTATACAATTTAAAAGATAGAATAGCAAAATAAAACTTCTCTCACAACCCGAGAGATTAGGTTAGCATAAGATTTAACCTTATCATATTTTGAGATGTAAAATTAGTAATCAAACTACTGAAATCAAGTTTTTTCAATAGAAATCATAGCTAATCCATTCAATCGCTCTTATGACATGGTTGATTGAAGAAAAGATTGAATCAACCTCTACCTATCTTGGCCATGAGTACTAATCAAAATCAGTTTTGCTAATCTAGTTCTATCCCCTTATAGATTATGACATCTTATGTTTAAACTTAACAAATATTTCTCCACAAATCATGAATTTAGGTGTAAATTGGGCGGCTTGGATTGAGTTTCTAGTTACTAAATCGAACAATTAAATTTTGATTGAAAATTATAAAACTGAAAATATTTTATTTGAGAGAGAGAACTGAACTGGTTGGGTTCTTTCATAATTCATACATTAAATATTGATTCTTTTAAATAGATACATATAAATTATTGGCTAAGTTTATTAAAAATAATTGTAGAACTAAATTAAAATTCAATTCTATAACTACAACCAAGAATAAGAATTAAAAATAATACGGACACAAAAAGTATATACATACAAATGAAAAATAAATAAAATAATCTTATTAGTCCTCTATGTTACCTAAACACAACTAATATCCTGTATAATGAATATAAATTATACAAATAACAAATACTCTCATAGCCCAAACAGTAAAACTGTAAAAGAAAAGCCAAATAACCAATCCTCGGTAAGAATGGATCAGAACATCAGCACATGACTAATAGTAATAAATAATCTAGTTCTTGATAAAGGCCATAAAAGACAAAACCAATGAAGAACACACAATCGCGCCCCCTGAAAAGTAAAACCCGAAACCACAGGTCCACCATCCACAAGCAAGTGCAAGTGTGTTGTGTGCAACGACGAAGAACATGAAAAGACAGGCCGAACCTTTAGTCGGGTAATAGCCAATCGGATGATTTCTAGCCGGAAGTTTTGCTAGTAGCTAGGTTTTACTTTTCAAGATTGGTACCATATTTTTCTCTGAATTTCTCCAAGTTTATTACGATTCTTGTGGTGTCATATTGGAATTGGAGAAATGGATGGTTTGTTCTCCATTTATCTGCCCAATTTTGTGTTTTTTTTCAAGGGATTTGAGTGGCTTTGGGCCCTTTTTTTTTTTGGGAGGCCCCTTCAGATTCTGAGGCCCAAGGCGGTGGCCTTGTTTGCCTTGGGCCAGGGCCGGCTATGT